AATATTACAGCTATGTATTATCAAAACACCAGTAGATATTATAAATCTGCCTGACGAGATAAAACCTATATAAAGTGACATCTATTTTAAGAATTCTGAGTTTAGGCCATATAGAAATGAAAGACAGATCAATTAAGCTTCTTTGGAAGGGCTGTGACTCTTTGGAAGGCCTAACACAAGCTGATAGTTAAATAAAACCAGTCTAATTTCATGGGGCTTAAGATTTCTAAAAAAATATTTTTGATAACACTCCAAACAAAAGATAAGCTTAATCTTCTTTCAAGCCTCAATGTTTTTTGTTCAACTTTATTAAATTACACTCAAAACATATAAAGAGGACAGGTAACTGAGTAACACTCATACAAACGGAGATAGCAAAATCAAATATTTTTGTGATTTATCATGAACTCACAAGGCCCTAATTGCATGCTCTTATGTTAATTTCTTTTTACAGAAATACAAACATACCTACTTGGCCAGTTGCCACTATGTTGGTAAACTTGGGGTGCTGGTTTACAGTGAGGCACAAAATATCGTCATTGTGTTCCTGGTAAAAAGACTGAGAGCCTAAAAAAAATACATATAAAATAGTTCGACTTTAATTAAAACATTTATACACATATAGACATGGTTAATATTTTAAAATTTTATAATATTTGTAAGAAAACAGCATTATGGTGATGGTGCAGTTCAGAGCTTAAAACCAGGAAACAGAAACTCCTAATTTTTTATCTCAATTTTAACATGTAGCACTCAGTAACTCTGAACCATTCCCTCAGGTTTTCCACATCAAGTTGCTTAAATATCACAGAAACAAACTGCATGTGTTACTCCTTAAGAGGTCTCTTTTATCGAAACTAAATTGGTTACTGAGAATGAACATACGTGATACGGAGGACTGAAATGTAAACCAAACAAGAAATAATTAACTTAGTCTTAGAAAAAACATTAAACAACTATAATTACCCCATTGTTCAGCTGTTTTTGTTTCTGTGATCATTTTAAAAAGCAAATTTCAGAAAGCTAATAGAAAAATAATCAAATCTTTGCTTTCTTCAAAATTCAGTCACCAGAAACATTTCAATATAGTTTGCTTATGCAGCTATTATGAATCATCTCTACAGACTGAATTTTCAGAAACAATTAATAATTTTCCCACATACTTTTATAAGATTTAAAGCATACCAGTTACTTCACAAACTGTAACTCCATGTGTGTGAAGAAACACTTTTCCTCAAGTGGGTTTTCTCCTACCTGTTGCCACATTATACAAGATCCCAATAGATGCAGTATGATATATTACATCAGCACCATCATTCAAATAGTGCACGTTGTTTCTGCAGTCCTTCCCTCGGTACCCAAATACCAGCTCCAAAATGAGGTCCTAAAAAAAGATATTTTCCTCTATTAGATACTCAAGACCTTAAAGCAGTTATGAACTTTACAATCTTTTCCAGGATTTTATTTTTCAAATGTGCCCTTATGTAGTAAAGGCAAAGGAGTTTAATGATGTCTCAAAACAACAGAAACTGAGATCGTGCCTTTCTTGTCAGCCCACATTGCTGCTCATTCTTGTCATACACCGTCACATCATCCTGTCATCTCTGGTGGATGCTGTAGAATATATTTCTATGTGTACACACACACGTATAAATACACAGAATGAGATACTCATACACATGCATATAAATAAATAAATTACAGTGAGCAAAAGAGCACAGCTCTTTTGAAGAAACTAAGAAACAAAGAATGACAAACACTGGTCCACAATTTAATTCCAGCTGGCAATTAAGAAAGCTGAATTACAGCCTAAAACTTCTCAAACACTGAGGGCAAAAGGCCATTTATTATGCTACACCAAACATTCTGTTTCATATAATAGAAAATATTTCAGTTGATATGAAGAACTGTGTTTTTCAAGGTCAGATGAAATTTCCACTTCAGATTAATCAAAAGTGAGTGTATTTATTTGCATTGGCCAGGCAATGAAAAAACAAACAGGTGCCTGAGCTAAAGGCATCATTAATATATTTTTTTTAAATAATTTTGTTTTTTAAAACTGTTGACAATGATGAATTTTAAACAGTTTTAAAATAAATTTTTAAAAAATTGCAGTAAAAGATGTTTAATTTTATTAGCACTAATACACACATTAACAATCCAGTTATCTAAACAGGACATACTGCTTTCTACACACTGCATTTAAAAGGTTTTATTGTTACCAAGAATTAAGTTGTGCTCCATTTCATTGGCAAGAAAAAGTAATATCAGGCTTTTTTAGACTCTCAAAAAAAAATTTCTCTCCCACTTTTTTTGCTATTTACTCACTATTCAATATTTCCATCTTTCATACATTTAAAATGAAACAATCATTTAGTGTGTCCACAAATGTGTCAACTTCTGGAAAAAAAAATTCCTAAAAGGAGAGGAAGAGGAGATCAATGTTCTTCTTACCTCTATAGGTCTCTTTTTTTTCCCAACATTATTTGTCTGAAGCTTCTCCGGCTGTGGCAATGCCCTACTAACTGGTGGTCTGAAATAAAGAACTGTGAATAAGAGAAGGCTGTCCGTCACCCATTCCATACTAACACAGTACCTTCCAACCTGCTACTGCATATGGAAAACTTATAGCACTATCCTGCTTAACTAATATTTGCATTCAACTTTGAAAGAAAGACCTTTGTCAAAGGAAAAAAAAAAAAACATCACCTTTGTTTACATGCTAGGTTTTCCAACAATTCTTTGACAATCCATGAGGTTAATGCAAAAGCTTCTTCTATAATGAACAACCACTGATACAATATTCTTAGCATTTTCCATGCTATATTCTCAAGGTACTTCCATCTTCTCTGTAGCAATTTTTATTGGACAAACTTTAAAGGTTTACCTGATTAATCTAAATTCTTGAGATAGTCATTCCTATTCCCCCATGCTTTCAGAAGGCCCTAGCTTTTCCTGCTTTTCTAATAGTTTGTAAAGAACTCCAGGTACACCTGCCCATTCACTCTTACACCAACAGAATCAAGTTATTGATCAATGCTTAATTGGAAGTAAACTATCACCATGCGAATGCATGAATATGGGCCATAACTTATGTTCCACTGTTCTGAATAGCCTAGATTTAATTAAGAAATCTCAACAGATATGTTTGAGAAATATCTGTAACATATCTTTCAGATTATGCTCAACTGTTCATATAAAAAGAAACATACAACATACATACATAAGTTTTATTTATCAAACTTATGCAACTATTTCCAGTCACTCGCAGGAGCATTGGTTATTGATTCTGTACATACAGCATATGTTGTCATGAAAAGAGACCTGTACATTTGACCCTCACCTTATCATTGTGTGCTACTAAAATGGAATCAAATCCAATCAAGTAAAACCACTGAAAGGCATGATCAAAAATGAAAGGCACAGATTCTGTATGGGCAATGAGCTTTCTGAAAGCACTTCACAGTGATACAGAGAGTAAAAACCTGCCCTTATTCATTCAAGTAAAAGAAGAGACAGAGAAAGAGAGAAACTAATACAGGCCAAGTCCAATTAAAATTTGTAGGGGTCGGTGGGGGTAGGGAATTAGACAGCTTCATCAAACATCTGAGGTACATTTACATTAAGATTTTTCTCTTCTCTTGTAAAGAACAACTTTTTTTTTTCCAGTATCTTTTTTGAAATGTTCACGCTTACCTCTCAGAATATTAACAAATGAAGCTTTGTTTGGGTTTCAGAGTGTGGAGTGGGTTTTATGTTTGCATAAAAACATAAGTACTGCTTAAAACTGAACAAATTCTAGTGCTTACAATCTCTGAAGTTAAATGGCAAAATAATAACCAGTTCTCTGCCTGTGCAATCATAAGCCTTTGAAGAACGAACAGGGTTAACAAGTTAAATGAATTCCACACAACCATGATTGTATTTATCCTGTTATTTTATGGCTAAGAATTATAGTTATTGAAATACATCTAATGTCTGATTTATGTAACAGGTTAACGATATTAAGAGCTGCTAATCAGCTTTTTCCTATCTATAGTTTATTACTTTAAATTACAACTAAAATTCCTTAATTCTTTTGATACCTCCATAATTGCTGCTTATTTATTAGGTAACTAAGAGCACACTTAAAAATGCAAGTTCCTTAAAAAACACTTACACGAAAGTGGTTCCTTAAAAACCACTTACATAACATTGACTTTAAATCCGTTTTTAAATTAAGAAAACACAACATGTACCTTTCTCTTTTTAAACATCGAAATCGGGAACAACGCTCAAGTGCTGAAAATTGGAAGACTGTACACCAGTGATTCTGTTGGTCCTAACCATTAGTTTCCCCAAGAATCGGGGGGGGGTGGGGGGGGGAACCTACAATAAGTAGCAATGTTCATTAGTTTTCCACCTCTTCTCTCATCCCATGCAGCAGCTATAAAATCAAACAAGTACAGCAGGAAGAGTATTGCAGAAATGTGAGACTGGCATGCTGTTTGTTGTGCATGCTGCTTCTACTGGTATGTTAAGAACCTTAAGAAGTCTTCTGGAGAAAAAGAAATCCAGCTGTCAATGACATATTAAGGACTAAAAAGAAAATCACAGTGCCATCTCACTCAGCTGTGAAGCATCAACACCCGAGATATGATTACCAGCCTGCACCTACACCAGCAGAAAAAAATCCAAACCTTCTTGAGGAATGGAAAGTAGAAAAAGATACAGATACACACCTCTTACAGTTGCAGAGAGCCTTCCTAGCTGAGAGAGAAGCATAATTTCTGATGCTTTTCAGACAGCAAGGAAATCTTTAAATGTAGCTTCCTTTAGACTGCACTGCAGCCAGCACATGGAACAAGAAAGTCAGATTCTAGATCTAGTAATCTTGCATAAATTTCTCTATTACTTTGAAGAGCAGACTAAGAAGCATATCAGTAACTAATGCCACTCTAAAAAAAAAAAAAAAGAAAAAAAATTTCTGAAAAGTAGCACAAGAGCGAATGAAGATTTCAGATCAAAGACAGGAGACTACTGTTCATTACCATCAAAAATCTCCACCTGATCTGAAGCAAGAAGTCCAAACTGTAGGAAATTGAGTCTAATTCTCTTAGGACAATTCCCAACAATCTATCCGTAAAAGTATTTTTATGCCCACCTCGATTTAGAGCTTCTAAGAAGAAAAAAGGCATTCCCAGAAATGCAATTATTTAGGAGCAACACAGCACATTTATCAGTTGTCAGAGGCTAGTGCTGTTCAACTGCTGTTGCAAAGGAAAATCAAGAGACTGAAAGAGGACTGCGTGGGTCAGGGGAGATTCAAGGAAATAAAAAGGATACATCTAAATCAGCAGAGGAAATCCCTGTAACTGCATATATGAGGTAAAGAAAATGAAAAGTAGGTTCCTAAGTTTTTACCCTGAAAAGAAAAAAACAAAACCAAACAAAAAACGAACCACCAAACCTAAGCTTTATAGCAGTAGCAACCTCGATGACCATAGGTCATCCAGACAGCTCTGGAGTAGAAGCGAGTGACAACGCTGGTGCTGAGCAGTCGGGCAACATGCAAGGGCTGTAGGGTCCATCACTGGAGGTCAGTCCTGCTTTATAGATGGGGTTAGGGGAAGATTGAGCAAAACTGCCCAATCCGCCTCCTGCTCACTCCAGAATGCTTCCAAATATATTATATTTTTAAATTCTGATTTGTCATGGACAATCCAGCAACAGTCTTATTACTAAAACACAGCATAAGGAGCCCTTCTTCTACTTGTCACCCTCACATTTGACACAGAGCACTCAAGCCTCATTTCTTTCCTTTCCCGCCGCCCTCCCTCTTCATTTATATCCCTGAAAGACAGAGATAAAAAAGCAGAAAAACTAAAGAGATCAGGAGAGCATATCTGAAGTCTCATGGAAACTGTAAAAACTGAAAGGACACGGTTCTAGCACAGGTTTATATTACTGAAACAGAACTGACTGGAAGTGAAGATTTCTCTGCTGCTCGGATCTAGAACATGGCATTTGTGTAACATTTGCTCTGTGCTAATCCCTTCTGATACCACGGGAGAAGAGGTAAAACAATCTCACATACAACTGCTTGGAAAGACCACCTGTACTTCAAGGCTGTACAGATAAACAGGTACAAATACAGGCTGACATCCATCCTTAGGCAATCATTAGAGTACATTTACATTTGTACGTTACCATACAAAACAGTAAAGTGAATGCACACTGGTCAGTAAAACTCGACAATTTATACTCAGCTATATTATCTCACAGGTCACCTAAATAACTTATACAAGCAACCATCTATGAAAGACTAATTCTATATAGATTCAGAGCAGTGGAACTGGAAAGCAAATTACAAGTACGTATGTATTTTTTTCCCAATGAAGTTTCAAGATGCCAACTTGTGATTTAAAAGCAGGA